GCATGGGAGGAGACTGTACACCATAAATCTGCCTTCTCTCTCCTCATTACAGTCATACTTTCTCCTGTTGACCCCAGAATGCTGAGTTACTAAGAAAAAGTAATAGTAATTACAGTAATTTATGGAAACTGCTTATCATTTAAGCCTTAATTGCCATGCAGTATAATAACAATTATGCCAGCCATTAAATGTGTCAGATTCATTTTGCAGCTTGTTTTATTTGATTTTTAACACTAACATCTACTCAGATTGGCTCGGTTTGTAGCTCACACAGCACGTGTGCGTCCTCATAATTAAGACAGTATTAGAGGGAACACTGCCTAGGAGAGGAAATCAGGCAGCGAAGGGAGATCTTACAAGAGGCATTTGTTTTATAAAGCCTCAAATGCACTCACTTCTCTTATCTCCCTCCCTCATCATTACATTTGGTCCTGATGTACGCTAAATATTTTTATTTAAGTTTTCAGTATTATAGTGTTTTATTTTGAGTATCTTTATAAATCCCATCGTTTTTTTGATCACCAAGTGAATATCTGAGAATGATAACATGAGCAAATAACACATTTTAACACTGTAAATAATATTACCACTACCGATGATGTGTTGTTGGGTGCCACCCAGTCAAGTCCAGTCTTGCACCATCCTCACAATTGTTCTTTTTGAGCCCACTGGTGTAGCCATTGTGTCAATCCATCTCACTGAAGATCTTCCTCTTTTTTGTATTGCTGATCCTCAACTTTATAAAGCAGGAGGTCCTATTCCAGAGACTGGACCCTCCTGATAACATGTCCAAAGTATGTGAGACAAACTCTTGCCATTTTCACTTCTAAGAATCATTCTGGTTATTCGTTTAAAACAGATGCATGTTCTTCTGGCAGTCCACTGTATTTAATATTCTTCATCTATACCATAAATCAAATTCATCAATTCTTCTCTAGTCTTTATTTCCCATGTGTATGAGTTAGTTGAAACATGGCTAAAGTAAGGTGAACTTAACTCCTCAAAGTCATGCCTTTGCTTCTGAACACTTTAAAGAAGTCTTCTGCAGTAGACTTACATAATGCAATACATCATTTTATTTCTAGACTGTTGCTTCCATAGGCATTGATTGTGGATCTAAGAAAAATGAACTCGTTTATCTTTTATCACTTTATCATGATGTTGCTTACTGGTCCAGTTGTGAGAATTTTTTTGTTTCTTTACAATAAAGTAGAATCCATACTGAAGGCTGTAGTCTTTGGTCTTCATCAGTAAGTGCTTCAAATCCTCTTCTCTTTCAACAAGCAAGGTTGTGTTTTCCTCCAATCCTGATGCCACGTTCTTCTTCATATAATCCAGGTTCACAGATTATTTGCTCAGATTGAGTAAGTATGGTGAAAGGATACAACCCTGGCACACACCTTTTATGATTTTAAAACATGCAGTATCCCCTGGTTTTGCTTAAACAACTGCCTCTTGGTTTATGTACAGGTTCCTCATGAGCACAGTTAATACCCATTGTTTGCAATGCTATCCACTGTTTATTATGATCCACATAATCAAATATCTTTGCATAATCAATAAAACACAAGTAAACATCTTGCTGGCAGTCTCTGTTTCCAGCCAAGATTCATCGGCTGTCAGCAATGATACTCCTCATCCCATGTCCTCTTCTGAATCCAGCTTGAATTTCTGACAGCTCCTGCTGATGTACTGCTACAATCATTTTTAAATTATCTTCTGCAAAATTTTACTTGCATGTGACATTAATGATATTGTAAAATTATTTCCATGTTCTGTTGGGTCACCTTTCTTTGGAATGGGTGCAATATGAATCTCTTCCAGTCAGTTGGTCATGTAGCTGTTTTCAAATTTTTGGGCATAAATGAATGAACCCCTCTGGTGCTGTTTCAGTTTGTTGCAAGATTTCAATTGGTATTCTGTAAATTCCCTGAGTCTTGTTTTTCGCCAATGCCTCCAGTGCTGCTTGAAAGTTTTCCTTCAATCCCATTGGTTCTTGGTCATGTGGCACCTCGTGAAATGACCAATTCTTTTTGGTACGGTGACTCTCTCCATTCCTTCCATCTTCTTCTGATGTAGCCAATGTCATTCAATATTTTGCCCATAGAATCCTTCAATATTGTAAGTTGAGGTTTAAATTTTTTTCTTCAGCTCTTTCAACTTGAGAAACACTGAGTTCTTCCATTTTGGTTTTCTAACTCCAGTCTTTGTACATCTTCATTATAATACTTTACTTTGTCTTCTCAAGAGGCCCTTTGATATTTTCTCTTCAGCTTTTTTGCTTCATCAATTCTTCTAGTCATTTTAGCTTCTCAATAGCAAGTACCGCCAGTTTCTGAGTCTCTTCTGACATTCACTTTGGTCTTTTCTTTTTTTCACTGTATTTCTAATGACCTTTTGCTTTCTTTATATATAATGTTCTCAGTGTCATCCCACATCTCTTCTGGTCTTCAGTCATTACTTTCTAATGTAGTAAATCTGGGTTTGAGATGGTCTCTAAAGTTAGGTAGGCTATACTCAAAGTCTTATTTTGGTTCTCATGGAGTTGTTTTAATTTTCTTCAGTTTCAGCCTGAACTTCCATTTGAGCAATGGATGGTCTTTTCCACAGTGTGCCCCTAACCTTGTTTTGGCTGATGATATTGGACTTTTCCAAGCCCTCTTCCCACAAATGCAGTCAACCTGATTTCTGTGTATTCCATCTGGTGAAGTCCTAGTGTACAGCAGTCTTTTTTTTTATTATAAAAAGGTATTTGCAATACGTAAGTCATGTTGTTGTTGTATACTGCTGCTAAGTGCTGTGGAATTGGTTCCAACCCATAGAGACCCTGTATAGGGTATCTGTGGAGCAACGGGTGAGCATGAACCACCAACCTGGTGGTTCAAACTGACTGTGCAGTCCAGCACAATTCAGTATCATTTCTATTAGCAAGCTCATATTTTCCATCTATGGCTCCTTATTCCTCTTTATTTCCAACTTTCACATTCCACTCACCAATATATTTATCCATGAATCTTAATTATGTGTTTGATCAATTTCAGACTGAAGAAGTTGGTAGACTTCTTCAAATTAATCATCACTGGCTTTAGTTGTTGGTGCAAAAATTTGAGTAATAAGAATAACTAGTTTTCCTTCTAGGTGTATAAATATTATCTTATCGGAGACAGCACTGGACTTCTAGATCTTGAAATGTTTTTGACGATGAATGCAATCTATTCCTCTTTGTCATTCCAAGCACAGTAAATCATACGATTGTTTGAGACAAAATGGACAATACCAGTCCATTTCAGTGATACTGATCTTTATGTATTTCATTTCAGTGTCCAATTTTCCTAGATTCATACTTTGTACATTCCATATCTCATTTTGAGTTGTGCCACATCAGCAAAGGAAGGTATCGAAAGCTTAGCTCCATCCACATCAGTAAGGTTAACTCTACTTTGAGGAGGCAGCTCTTCCCAAATCATATTTTGAATGTCAACCTAGGGGCTCATTTCTCAGCATTATTTGAGAATGTCCCACTGCTATTTATAAGGCTTTCTGTGGCTAACCATTTAGATATGGTCCACCTGTCTTTCTTCCTAAGACTAGTCTGAAAGCTCATCTGAAACCTGCCTGCCCTAGGTGATCCTGCTGGGCTGTAAAAAACCTGTGGCATAGTTTTCAGCATCATAGTAACACACAAGGCATCACAGTAAGACATACTGATAGATGAGTGGTAGATAAGTACACTCAGAGCAACTATAAATATTAGTGTTTTATGACTCATAAAGTGATTTCATAGCCATCATCTCTTATTCATTTGTGTTACAATCTTGGTAGGCAGTACTATCATCCATATTTAATATACACAGAGATAAGGATTAGAACTGACAATCTTCTATCAATCAACTACCTCTTTATTGAAATATTTAAAAGTAGTGAGGTTATTTACATTGTAATAAGACTTCAAATCATCTTCTCAGTAGGAGTTAAATCTTGTGAGATAAAAAGGACAGAAAAATCTCTTACATGCTCCTTTAAAATAAGTCTTAAAAAGGACAAGTTTAATTTGTATGAATCTTGCTTAAACTTTTCATAGATTAAGAAACATTTCCACTTTAAACCACTGTAATTAACATCTCAAAAATTTATTATTTGTAATAGTTACAGGGTTAATATGTTCATTAGAACGATGAATAACTAAGAATAGTATCAGAAACCTTACCTATTCTTGGAAAGTTTCATAGGTATTTGTCCTTAGAAATTCCCAATCATAATAAAATTCTTGGTTTTAGGAGTCCTGGTATTGCGCTGTAGGATGTGCACTCAACTGCGAACCACAAGGTCAACAGTTCAAACCTACCAGCCACTCCTTGGAAACCCTATATACAGTTGTTATGAGTTGGAATAGACTTGACAACACTTAATAACAACAACAAATGTTCTTGTTAGACACAGTCACAAATGAGCAGTATTACCAACTCCCTTTAACCTGGTGACTAGGGGCATCATTTATTTTCTCTGTGGTGCTGGCAAAGACCAAACTCAATGCCAATTTCTCATGGGATCAATTTTAGTTTGATGATTAATTCCAAAGCATTAGCATCATCTAATATTACTATTTCTATGTTGTTGTTGTTGTTAAGTGCCTTCGAGTCGGTTCCGACCCATAGCGACCCTGTACAGGGTTTCCGAGGGTGTAAATCCTTACGGGAGTAGAAAGCCTCATCTTTCTCCCGCGGAGCGGCTGGTAGTTTCGAACTGCTGACCTTAAGGTTCGCAGCCCGATTCGTAACCACTACGCTACCAGAGCTCCTTTCTATAGGGACATATAATTCTCATAGTTGATTATCACATTCTATAGGGAAAAAAACTGTAGCAGTCACCCCAAACTCTTCCATCCAAATTAGAAAGTATTCTTTTTCTAACATAGGATTCTTTAAAATATTTAAACAACTGTTTTAAGTTAATTTTTGAGACATCGATATGTTTATAAAGAGCGAGAGAGAGATACTTACAGCACATCCTTGAAGTCTCCAAACACATACATATGCCTGAAGCTGTCGATAGCGATGACAGGACAATCTGCTGGAGTCTTCTGTATGTGCAGAAGAGGATGTCTAAATTTGTCACAGTCAGCATGTAAAAAGTTTATTGTACCTTGAAAAGAAATAGAATTTGGAAAGGCAAGTTATATTTTCTTGATTCTAGTCTTAAGATGCAATTAAAAAACAAGACATAGTAAAAAACAAAAACACAAAAATGTGTTTAGAGTAATATAGACCATAAAAACTAAAACTGAAATACTACAGTATTTAAAAGAAGCAAGAATTTCATTCTTAAGGAAGAGGGAAATATCCATTTACTTAGAAATTATATGAACTCAACCCAAATTCAAATGCTAGGTTGAATTTCTGTTTTTCCTTAAATGGGCAGTCATTTGCTCTGTGGATTACCCAGTTTCTATAACAAGAGCAAATTGCTGAAACTGACATACAAGTTGTTCTCATAGGATCATCTTCATTCTATCAAATATTCCCTTTGAATCTCTACTGGCTGATTTTTTAAAATCCTAAATACTTATTCAGCGACTAAGGGGTGCCTCGCTTTACATAATGCCTTTAGTTAATTTTGTTTGATTTTCTTCCTTAACTACACAGGGTCAGTTGGTAATGCCTCAAATTTTCTTGTGATGCTTTGGAGAAGTTTGCAGGCAACTACTCCATTTTCTTTAATTTTGAAATAAATGTTTATCAACTGCAAGCTTTCTCAGCAATGTCTCTGAGAATGTCTACTGGAGAGGGAGCTGGAATAAAGTGTCCAAAGCTAAGCTTGTCCATCCCTGACCCTGCTTTTTAGGCTACTTCATTTTTTCCTTAAAACAGTCAAGGTAAAAAAGAACGCCACTTCTCATATTACCTCCCTACTAAATGCCCTCTCATGTTCACATGTGAAATCAAATGTTGAGTAAAAATAACTTGTTAATTTTTAACCCAAATATATTTTATATAGATATCAATGGAAGGAAGGAAGGCAGGAAAGAACTAAAAAGGGAAAGAAAGGATGCAAACAAACACCTTAATCTGTCTACCTTTTTCACTTATTAATTGCCGGGCTACTTCATTCTGGAATATTTCTAAACTTTCTGTATCCTCTTTCATGTGGAAGAGTATGAGAAAAGGCAGTCCTTCTTCTGTCAATTCCTGTATAGAGAAGTATTCAGTGAGAATTATAAGGCCTCTCCATTTGGATCTAGCTATTTTCTAAGTAGGAACAATTTTGAAACCAGCTCATATGATATATAATAATTCCAATCTAGGAGAAAAGTTCCAATGGTTTAAATAAACATAAGCCTTAACAGAAGAAAGAACTCAGTCCTCCAACCCAAACATGCCTGAAACTTCTCTATCTGAACGGAAATACTGATTGGGTCTGCTAGCAAGTACTAGCTATAAGGACTCAGGGGCGGCCACAGAGTTGAAGCCATGAAATTTAAAGAGTTGATGAAAAAATTTAAAATTTAAGCTTAGTATTTTCAGTCTTTATAGATAATACTGAAAACAAAACTAAGTGTACCATCAATTAAAATTTTAAAAAAAGATTAGTTTATTCTCATATTTATGTTTATTCTATCATCCATTCCACTTACACAAAATTTACCCAAAGCCAGAAAGAGCTAACGATAAAAAATCCACAAGATAACCAGTTTTAAAACAATAAATAATTTATCAACATTTACAAATACCTGCTAGTTTGTGTGTGTATATTTTTATATAAACACACATAAAAGCATTCTGGACATTATAAAGTGGTATCATTTTTTGGAGTCCTGATGTAGCACTGAGTACATCAGGACTCCAAAATCTGTACTGGACTGCTAAGTGGAAGGTCTCTGGTTCAAATCCACCAGCCACTTCTCAGAAATCCTATACACAGTTGCTATCAGTTGGAATCGACTCAACAGCACTTCACAACAGCATATAAGTTTTATTATTGCGACTGGAGAATAATACAAGAAAACTGTGATATGTAGACAGATTTTAATAATTTATTTTCCAACAAATGATAAGTTTTGATATCCAAGAAAAAGTCTAACAAGGACCTCAAACAAAATTTCTTTCTAACAACTACCCTTGGGAGTCTCTTTATAACTTGGAAACTGCATCAGCAGACATTATAAATGCCCTTTATCGTAACAACATAACAAAGCAAACACATAAACAACAAAACTTAAGCTGGGACTCGTTTGGTTGGATATAATTTTCCCTGGCTCCTTTCTTTATGTTTCACTACATATAGGTTGCATTATTTGTCATAGGTGTCTTTTTATAAAAATTGAGAAATAATTCACATACAATAAATTCATCCTTTAAAATTGTACAATGCAGTGTTGTAGTATGTCACAAAGTTGCACAGCCATCACCACTATTTAATTACAGAGCAGTTACTTCATTCTAAAAAGAAGTCTAGGAAAGTGTTTCAGGACGGAAATGCCTCTTCTAGGAAGTCTTCCCTGATCTCATCCTATCTCTGCCAGACGTGGAAATGAACTCTCTCCTCTCAACTCCCCAAATATTTTATCAATGCCTTTACCTGGCACAGAAAGTTCTCTTCTGTTATATTAAGTTACATGAAATATTGGAATGAAAACTCCTTGATGACAGAGAATCTTATTTCACTTCTCTTTGGCTCACAAATTCTTGTAGACGGTAATGTGCAATCAGCATGGGACTGACTGAATGAAGAAATGTGCAGAATAAATACGAGCTGAAAAAGAAGGCTCAGTAGTCACCTCTGAAAATGAGAACTACTAGACAGGAAATCAGAAGGCCTGGCTTCTGGCTCTGGTTCTGCATTTACGTGGGCAAGTCACTACCCTTCTTTGGGACTCATTTCCACATCCCTTCCAGCTGATGCAGATGTGATGTCACCACCTACTTTAGTCACCCCTCAAAAGTATACCAATTCGTTCAATAATTAAATTAGGCATTTCGGTCAGCTCACATGTATTCAATTCTAAATGTGACAGCATCTTGCCTCAGAGTCTTAGCGTTTTCATTTGTAAAATGGGAGGGTTATGCTTGAAAACCTGAGTTCTTCTAGTGCTAAATTTAAAAACGGTCCTTAACTTTAGGGACATTTAAATTGATCAGACTTTGAAAAGAAAGAATAAAAACAAAAGATTTTTTTTTTTTTTTTTTTTTAGACTCTAGAAGAATATGGATGAACTAACAATTCTTAGGAGAACAGCCATGAACAAATACATTAGCAATCAGTTTGAAGTTCTTATGGTAACAAAATAAACCAAACAAACCGAATCTACTGCGGCCCACTCATAGTGACTGTACAGGATAGAAATGCCCCACAAGGTTTCCAAATGTAATCTTAACCGAAGCAGACTGTCATCTTTCTCTTAGGGAGTGGTTGGTAGGTTCAAACCATAAACCTTTTGAATCATAAATGAGCGCTTTACCATTAGGCCACCAGGGCACTGTATAAACTAATATTTTGTTGTTCAGCACTGTCAAGTCCATTCCGACCCACAGTGACCCTGTACAGGGTTTCTGAGGAGCAGCTGGTGGGTCTGAATTACAGCCCTGTGGTTTGAAGTTCACTGCTGATCCTACTGTGCCACACCGGTCGTCCATAAGTCAAGATGGTGGTGGTGGTTATGTGCTGTGGAGTCAGTTCCAACTCACAGCAACCCTGCATAGAGTTTCTGAGGTTGTGTATCTTTATGGGAGCAGAAAGCCTCATCTTTCTCCCATGGAACCACTAGTAGTTTTGAACTGCTGACCCTAAGATTAGCAGCCCAATTCGTAACCACTATGCTATCAGAGCTCCTATAAGTTACTATGTTGTTGTTGTTAAGCGCCATCGAGTCGATTCTGACCCACAGTGACCCTATATTGGGTTTCCGAGGAGCAGCTGGTGAGCTTGAACTGCCAGCCTTTCAGTTCAAATGGCTTTGCAGTCTGGCGTATTGGTTTATACTGCTTGGGTCTCCCAGTTGGCTCATACCCACACCAGCATCTTCTTTACTAAAAGGGCCAGGAGAGGGATAAGACAATCAGATTTCAAGTTAAAAATCGATCCTCAAAATTTAGATGATTTACTAGCACTTGAAAATAAATCTCAAGTATTATCTAGCGTAGTGGTTATGAATCGGGCTGCGAACCTCAAGGTCAGCAGTTCAAAATTACCAGCAGTTCCGCGGGAGAAAGATGAGGCGGTCTGCTCCCGTAAAGATTTACAGCCTCAGAAACCCTGTGCAGGGTCACTATGAGTCGGAACCGACTCCACGGCACATAACAACAACAACATTATCAGATGTATCAGCTACCAGGAAAGGGGACAGGGGGATTCCCACTTATTAATTATTAAAGATCTTTCAGGTATATACCCTTAAACCCAATGTTTCAAACTATTCTTCCAAAGAACTGCCAAAGCAGGTGAGTAACTGTAATAGGTTACCAAGTGTTTAGGAGCCTGAACTAATGAATTAAAATAATGTAATCCTGCTAAATGTTATCTAAGGCCTAGAAAATTAAGAATCAGAAATATTCATTTCAATATACTATGAGCAGAAATAGTCCAATACACCTTCTTTTTTAAAAATCAAGTAAAAGATTAAAATGGAAAAAACTAAGAATGATGATTACTCAAGTACAAAGAAGCTAAAATTTTAAATGTCTAGTTTTAAAAAGTGTGAGCTAAAGGATTTTTAGCACTTTAACAAATATTTGTGTCTGTTAAAAAGAAAAATTACACTACACAAATTAAGGCATCAAAATGAAAAAGTGCATAAAAAAGGAGAGAGCGCTTAACATCCTAGTGTCTTCCAGGCTTCCCGTACCACAAACTGTGCCAGGCACACCACTGCATCATATGGTGAAACACTCAAATTGTAGGAAGAATATTCTGAATTCTGTGAAACGGGACTCCTTTACATTGGGTTGGCTACATTTTTATGCTGCTGATAATGGAAGATAATAGCTGGAGATTAGACTAGATCATGTGTGATAGGTCCAACCTGAGAAGAACAGAAATTGAGTCCACTGCACATAGAAGGTCAATATAGTGTCATGAAAAATTTGGCACACACACAAATACATATATAAAATGGGGAAATTTTATTTTTTACTGTGCCTGGAAAACACAAAAAACTGTTTGAAAGCGACTGTATGAATCCAATTTTTGGCCAGGTCCTGTACCTGAATGTCCAGTGTATCACAGATGGTACCAACGCCTAACTAAGAGACTGGACTTGTACACCCACCATGTGAGGATCTACACTCAGGCTGCTCTTATCTGTCAGCCATAACAGCTTAAGACGAAAGCTGTATCCTACTGAACAAAAAGAAATTACTTACAATCCTAAACAATGACAAATTTCTACATCGGAAAACAAAAAACAACACTGAAAAAAATAGCAAAATACTATTAACCAGAAAAATACTCTATGCTTCGTAAGAATGGGCTCAAAATGCCAAACTGTTGTCATATGGAAACAAAAATTTTGGAAATGTTGCTCAGAAGTTCTAGACAATTTGATGGGAACAGTGTAAAACCAAGAACTTTAGAAATAAAAGAACCTAGAAAAGTTAGTAAAATCCATCTTTAAAAAAATTCCTTTTACACCAAGAACCAAAAAAAAATTGTGGTATAAATTTCACCCAATTGTCTTCCGTGTTTCAGAATTTCAAAATAACTTGTAGTATTGTATTGTTATATAAAACCAGAGCTAGTACAGTATAGATTCACTTATGATATTTATAACTTCAGGTTTAATCACATTTGGTAAGAAGTCACTTTTGCAACCCTAATTGACACGAGAAATAGCTATTTTAAATGACAAGTAGGATGGTCCCAGTGGTATGCTGACACATTAGATTGTTTGGATCCTCTTTTGATATAAAGACCCAATCCACAATGATTTGGATTTGCCCAAAGAGAAGTAGAGATTCTAAATTTGATCCTACAAAGACTTATAAGGATAAATGATGATTTTATGGTGGGAAAATACACTGATAATGTTTCAGGCAGACATAAATGCACTCAATAACTGATATTTCTTGAAGTGTTAAAATGCAAATGAGGAATGAAAGTCATTCAGAACAATCTAATAAAAAGTTTACAATGCGGCTGGAACAGACACCTGCTTTTGGGAACTGAAGTAGATGCTCTTTCCCCCACTGCACCT